AATTTTATTATAGAAGAAGCTCATGAAGTAATTGCTATGTAAGTTTATGGGGATGACATTACTAATCATATGCTGAAATCCCACATCCTCCGCGACTGCATCTGGTTGCATATGTTTCACTGTAAACCCCTCTGCACTCTACACCTTATTATTGAGTTTTCGGTGCAAGGCACTTTTTTTAACTGCAAATGCCTTTTTGACCTAAACCAGAATCATACAAACAACTCCAAAATTAAAGCTCTGGCAACTCTACTTAATAAAACATGTCAACTCTAAAGAAGTTTTTAGCATGCACCGTCGGCCGAACAGCAATCAGCTGTGCAGCAGGGGGAGGCTTAAACAGTTGCTAATGGGCTATTACTCAATAAACTGTGCAGCTGACTGCCCCTCCACCCCCCAGACAGACAGAGAAAACTCACACCACTGCCACAATGGCTATTTACATACATCAGTAAAGTGCTGCTGTTGATCTTAGTACCATACTTCATCTGAACTTTATCTGCAGTCCATAGCATATTTTGTATGTTGAGTTTTTTTCACAAATATGCTACTTGCAAAGACAGTTTTTACTCGGATTCTGGCAAAGTCAGTCGTTCTTTCTTGCCGGTCATCCTGAACATTCATTGAAATTCATTGAAGTTCTGCTCCGACTTTCATTGTGTTCAAACGAAAGGCTCGCAGAAGAAGCAAATAAAGGAGGTAGAACTTATATTTGTAGAGTAAGTTTCTTTGTGAGGTTGCTGTGGAGATATGTCAGGATCAGATATTCTGAAGATACCTCTGCCAGTTCACATGTGTATATATATATATAGATGGGAGTGGACACAACACTATTCTATACAATGCAGTCCAACACACCAACACTCCTAACTGGCCTCTAAAATGTCCTCTTCATTGAGCCCAATGGTGTTATTTAAGATTAAAGTTGTAAGGCATCCAAACTGCAGGTGTAATTGCTCAACACTTATGTAAATGTACTGTGCATCCTCCAAAGTCATTTTTTTTTATTGCTAGAGGGCAGAAAATACACTCCAAACTGCTTCAAAGAAACAAGCCCTGATACACTCAGGCAACCTGTTAGTATATCCTTTATACATATTTTGTATGATTTACTGTATATTGTATCTATCTACTGCAGTCATTTTATCTCTGTCTTTCTGCAGGTCCTCCAGTCAATGTTTCCTGTAACATTTTCATCAACAGCTTTGGTTCCATTGCTGAAACCACCATGGTAAGTACAGTGACAGAGATGTTGTTACGATGATATGATAAAATTACCTTTTTTGTCTGTTGGCGAGTGATAACAATATTTTGTCTGTTTCTGGTTAAACAAAATATCTATTTCTGTTGGGATCCTTTCCATAATGTTGACATTTCGACACAATCTGAGCCTGTCATTGACAAAAACAAGAGCTTTTAGTGGACATGACTTTGACAGGCACATTTGTCCCTAGCTAACATTACATGGTAGCCATAGCAGCCGTATTGGGGATATTTTTTCATCTAACTTGGTTAATTAAGGGTTTATTTCGACAAAACCAGCGTTGGTGATTGTTGGAAGACGGTTTTGGTCAATTTTATTTCGTTTCAGTCTAGTGAGTGAAGTGTGTTTTATGAATATCTACTTGGTAAAATTACTACTTTTGGCAATGGAGCCGGGGCTCTGTTGGTGCTCTAGTGTTTATACAAACATTTTTTATATAAATCTTGTTTCATCAAAAAGCATTCATACCCAAAATGGGTACAGGTTACTTTTAGCAACCTATAAATAAGTTTGATTATCTTAATTTTCTTAGTAAAAGGAACCTAATCACACATCACATCACTGAATTAACAACAACCCGTTATGTACAGGTATCCACTTACAGGGCTTTTGTTTTCTTCCAGGAGTTGTTCCAGCATCTTAACACATTCCCCACAAACAAAGATTTGTCATTGGTGAAACACTGTATACACATGGCAATGTTATGTGCATTAGAGGTGAAAAGTAAATGGCATCACTCTTATTAATTGTAAACATTAAAAGGCTTTCTGCACTTTGCAGCTAGTATCAAACAAATATATTTTAAAGTAGATACATTTCTGCTTGACAGGATGCTCAGTCAATGAATATTCTGGGTTGTGCTCAGTGTGCAGACAGGATGCTGTCATGCTTCAGTTAGATGAGACGTCATTAAACCAGAATGTGGACCTTTAGGGCACTGAGGGCAGCATTGGTGATTCAAGTCTTTGATCACTGCTCCCTTGATTAATGCATATAAGGTGGAGATTCTGTATACTTTAACCAGAGAGAATATGAGCTGTACAGCACAATATGTGTCTAATCTAATCTACTGTAGAAGCACAATTCACACTCTAATAAATGATATCTCATATGTTGACATTTGGAATGATTGTGGATTGACAATCACAACACTCACCTTTGATTTGTTTGGATTTTCAAAACTGTGAAAAAATCTGTAGTAGAAAGCAGATGTACCCAAAAAGTAGAAGTTCAGATGCTTTGAGCTGAAAGGTCATGTGCTGATAGTAAAGGTATTAAGAGTAGCAGTCTGTCATCATTATCAAGCCTCAAGATGTACTATAAATTATCAAATACAGTTTCAGAGCTTAAAATTGCATTTGGTATGTAGGGTCAAGTTTAGAACAGCCCAAGGCAACATTTTTGTCCACAAATATCCTTTAAACTACACAGGTAGCATCATTTATTTACTGGGAGTATCACTGCCATTATTCAAATGTTATTAGTGATAGCAGTACAGGTAGTATTTCTGAGGAAGTATTTGAATTATCATTATTATTGTTAATAAATTATAGCGTCAGCTGCACTCCTTATTAGCACCTACTAGAAGAGGAAGAAATGAAAGCTTCAAACCGTGGCCAGACAGGACGACACACTGACAAGTAGAAATAATGACAGAAGGAGGAGATATAAATCAGAAGAGACAGACAAGCAGACAGGAATAGCAGATGTGCAAGTTAAGACATTTAGTGACTCTGACAGCAAGTTCTTTAGAGTGACATGAAGTCTGTCCAGGCTGCACAGAAGCTGCTTTGTACATCGATATTATGCATACACACACACTTACATAGACCAGGATTTGTATGGCTTTAGGTATGTTGACATTAGATTAGTAAAAATGTCCCAAAATTGGCAAGCCTTCTGGCACAGGAGTAAAAACATTTTATCAACTTTCTTAACACATGGAAGTCACTTCATCTCCTCTAGGATTTAGGAGAGCTGCAGAGCTGTCTGATCCTGTTAGGAGTCCACTGACCAGGGACAAACGATAGGATAAACAGGAGTAGAACTTTTAGTATGTGTAGAAATAAAGAAACTGTTGGATTCAAAGTAGCTGTGAATCTTTCCCGGATGTCACCCATCCACATTTGCAATGTATGCTTAAACAACAAGGGCACAAAGTTATATATATTTGTAAGCGTATGGCTAAACAATTAATCACAATATTATCAAAATCGCAATATGGCCAGATGCAATATCTCAATCACAGGAAGCTGCAGTTTTTTGATAAAGTTAAATTGTGTGTTAAAACAGAATTATAATGAACAACTGTAGTTCTGTAGAGATACCCTGGTCTACGCAGTATCTGTTAAAATAATTGCAATATGATGTTTTAACCATATCATGCAGCCCATATAATGCTAATAAGTAATTTCCTAGCTGCCAAATGTAATTGAAATATTATGTTGGATTTGTTATAAAAACCTTGAGACAGCTCAGTGCACAGATAAAGATACTTTCCTGAATACATTGCAATGTAACAGACTGGTTAAACATACTCCTGCTCATTCATGCGGTCAAATAAACAATGTGGACTTTATTTCTAAGTAGAGCTTTTCCATTAGCACTTTGCAAACCATCCCGCTGTGATTTGTATTTTAATTACCAGTATAAAGGCACCGAGCTGTGTCGAGTTGCACGAAAGATGGACCATATCCGAAGTCTGGAGTTGAGTGAGTACTGGTTGAAGCCCCACTCATTCCAGTTGTGGTGACATCAGATGGTCTTTGACGGCTGTAGGTCTGTGAGTCTGTAACCACTATGGCTCTCTCTGCCTTTAAAGACACACCTTCAAGCAGATAGTCCTGTTGGAATGGAAGGGTAAATCCCTGCTGCATTGGTCTGATGCTGCAAATCAGGCCAAGCTGGCACATGTGTATGGAAAAGGGCTATAGCTGCTCTTAACAGGTTTACACCAGAAGGATTTCTACCACCAAAACACTCAGTTCTGCACCTGAACACATCCTGTGTACACTCAGTG